GTCGTTTTAATTTCCTTTGGGAAATCGATTCTTTCTCATATAAACYAGATTCGAGTAAATCCTCGCATCATTGCTGCAGCATGCATCCTGTGATGGTGCAAAGCATCTRTGTCGTCCATCTTACCTTTCTGTTCGACTCTCCTCTCCTTTTGACGTCTACAACATCCTGTGYCAAATTCTTCAACTCCAGCATTTCTTTAAAGAATATCTTCCCACCWGCTTTTGACGTAAGAAACTTCCTTCCAAACGGTAACATAGGAAGGACTATGTTACCCATCRTCTGCATGAAAACACTGGGTTTCATGGCTGCAAGCGCCCGTTGCATGATGGGATCATTTGGGTTGTTTTGATAATCCGTTTGAATGCCAAACATAGTTGACATGATAATGTCCAGGGTCAATGCTTGCTGGTGTCTATAACAAAAATTGCAATATTATTGTGTTAGGTCTCTCCCTTGCCACGAGAGTTTTTATCCAGGTCARTCTCCGGTTTTCATGTCAGTTGTAAATAGTGAATGTAGTTCGGTGGTAATCTCACGGAAAGAACAGTCAGTTGTCAGTAAATATGTTGTTTCTTAAAATWACAATTGTATTGTACTAACCTGACAATGTCAAAACTGCCGCCGGYTTGGGCAACGTCCTCTGCTTTCTTCATCAGTGTATCACATGACATGTTCATTAGTCGTGCCATTCCTTTTAGTTTGAAGGCACTGAATGTTGGGGACAGGGTATTACGGATTCGCCTCCATGATTCTCCCTTCACGATATTTATTGCTTTGTCCAGGGGCTCTGGAAGAGTAAACATTTCCTGCAAAGAAAAGAAATAAATGAATAAACGAACGAATAAATAAACAAGTGAAGGGTAGGAGCAATTAAGCTTAAAATTAGCCGAGAAAGGAACACTGAGAAATCCGTTTTTCTTTTTTGCAGCCAAACTTTAATTATGCTAGTCACGCAAGGTTCGTCACGTACCAATTTATTCTAGCGTGACATCTCAATAGATTGAAAATAGATTACATAACGTATATCCATGAAAACGTTAACTAACAAAATTGTACACATTAATGCAATTTTGTAGGTGTTCGGTCTACTGAGATATACTGAACTTACTCAGTAATGTGTGCAAACTTGTGCAATTTCTTACAAAGTTTTTCATGGATCGATCATAGAGTATACGCATTCTACCATATTTAATGTATCTACACAGAGTTTCAATCCATATCAATACAAATGTGTTACAAATCGTACCAATATACACTTACAGGTCTATCGTGAAAGCATTCAAAGTTCTTTACAAGAATGTCTTTGATCATCTCTGGGTCTCCAACGACAAGACCTGGGGATCCAAAGAAGCTGACAGAAAACAATCTACCGTATTTCTTGTAATATCTATCGAAGTGAACGTGYATCTGTCCTTTGGCTGCAATCAGGTCCARTASATTGCCTATGAACGGTAATGGCTTGGGTCCTGGCATCCCTGGAAAGGCAGACTCTAGTACTCTTGCTCTACGTGTTCCATACCAGTAAATAAGAACCATTACAGCTAAACCTATTACAAGTGTGCCGAAATGACTCGAAACGCTACYAACACACGAAGAAACGAACTCCATTTTCTTTCGAAAAACCTTCTATTAATTCAAATAATACGTTTTTYGAAATTTTTCTTAACCTCTCAATGCACTAGGTATATTTACAGCGGAAATCTTGGACTGAATTTATAGAAAACATCAAATTACACGGTTGCTATTTTTAGACAATAACGTAGTTGATTGATCGACKTCAATGTCTATTTGAGTATTGTGTTACCATGCTCAGGCTATGGTCACGAYATCTTCAAAAGCAAAAAATATCGAGTTTTTGCCARCTGAAATTGCGATAWTCTSTCTTGGAGAACAACTGGATTTAGGCTTTGGTTAATGTATTTCTCATAGTATAGTTTTAAAAGAGTAAAACGAGATTTTTGAAAGATTGTTGGGGCAAACGGAAACAATGCACTTGAGTATGACAAATGTTTTTTTATAGTAGAGTAGAATTATGAAACTTTAAGAAACATTGCGTGACTTTTTCCCCTCTCCTCCGGCTTAGATAATGACCGGTGTAGTTAGGATTTAATGTTGTTCTGGGTATTTTAACGCAGTATTCGAAGAGGTGTTACCCTAAGTACCAGTGTTAGGTACGTACGAAACTTCACTTGTTGATAAACTAGTCAGAACGAAAAGAACCGAGCAAAAAATATAACAGTGATTTATCTATTTGACACTGACTGCGAGAATTAATCAGTATAAATATAAAACCCTTGTTTTCATATGGGCTTTTTCAAAAAAACTCCTTGAACGACAAAACGTCGAAAAAAAAGGAAAGTAATAATAATGAAAATGTTCATTGAAAACACTAAAGCTTTTTCCCCCGAGGCGGACAAAGGAAAACAAGGTCCTCTTACAGTGTAAAACCATCACATATTTAATATATTTAAGAGAATATTTAATGTTTTAAGTATACAACTTAACGAACCTATGTCGATCTGCTTCTGTCAGTTTCCTTTGCAAACACCTCAAAAAGTCCCTCCATTGCAAGTTAACCATCTCAAGGTTTCTTTCATCCTTTCTCCGTTTTTCCTTCACTTTCTTCCATTTCTATTTTCTTCTTTTCTTTTCTTACCCAGTTCTTATCTATATTCTGTAATCTCCTTTATTTTATTTTATTCTATTTTCCTTTTTTTATTTTTCAGTGCTTCATAGTTTTTTCCTTTCTTTTCTCCTTGTCATATTCATTTTCGTCAAATTAATGTTTTGTGATGAACAGTTCCAGACATCAGTCTTGTCTGGTCACCTAATCAGATCATATATAGTCTCTTCATAATCAACCGTTGCCTACCAATTAGTTCTAATAAATGCGTAAATACAAAGAAAAATACGGTAATATAACGCAGGGGCGGCGGAAGGGGG